ATGGGAGGTACATTCTTGGTGTAGTAGTGATATGTGTTTTATTAAAATTCGTATAGTTTTGAGTTCTGTTTGTGTTAAACATTCTTGTTTCGGTGATCGTTCATATATTTTCTTGTCTAACTTTTTTTCAGGAGTATAGTTTCCTTTACAAACCTGTGCAGCCCGATCAGTCTTTGCCGTTTGTTGGTAATTTAAACAATTTTGTAATGGCCGGATTGACATTCTTTCTTGACATGCCCCAAGTTATCATCTAGTTACATTCCTTCCTTGTGTTAGATAATTCTGTATCTATTTTTCATGTTACAGCTCCCCATCAGCCCCGTCTTGATTGGCAGATGTGGTTTGCAGCGTTAGGCTCGTACAATCACAATCCTTGGTTTGTTCATTTAATTTATCGACTACTTCATGGACAACAAGAGGTGCTTGATCTTATGGGCAATAATCCATTCCCTGAAAGGCCACCACGATATATTCGTGCCAATTTATACACCTATCGCTACACTAGACTACACAAGAATACCTCTTCTCTGCTGGATGCTGTCCATAACTCAAGGTCAGTTTTACATGTATTTATTGTGCAACGAAGCCAGGCTGTGAGTTTTCTTTTACAAGGCATTGGACTCATTTTTACATAAATATATGATCGAAAGTACGAGCATAGAGAGTCATTGATTCGCACCAGCACGCATGGTATGGTAGGAGTACAATGCTTTGGTATTTCCGTTAGATTTCTCAGTGATTGTACAAGAGGTCTGCGCTCTGCGGATTATAATTACTGAGGCACGCAGCATTCGTAGGTACAGTATTATACCTACGAAGGCTGTGTGCCGAAATAATTATCTAGTATAATTTCTGATATTATTAAAACCAATTTTCTATCTTACTTGTTTATCATAGGAGCAATGCCAATAATGAAGTTTYAACGGACTTTGATTTTTAGTTGAGAATTTATATATCTGAACACAATAACTTAATAAATTGTCATGAAATAGCCTGAGTAGCAGCTAAAAATCAACACAAACAACAAAAAACATGCAAAATTGTGCCAAATTATAAATTCAAAGTTATGTGAGCATGCATTGCATTTTCAGTAGTAGAACATAATGTACCACACGTATGGGAGCTAAAGTTAATGATAATACTCGATACTAAAACCGATAATTTCTAAATGGGTGCTGGGTTTTTGTAAGGACTGATAAGTAGTTTTCTTAAAACACTCTTTCATCYTTTAAGTCCGGCAAGCCATTCAGGCATCAATATTTTAAATCTTGCAGCTGGTTAACCTGTTTCTGTCTGCATTCGTTGGTCTAATGCAGAGGGAAAACAATGTGTTACGATCGATATCAGTAATTATTTGCATGCTATTTATATTTTCAATGTTTTCTACAAAAAAAAAGGTTGATAAAGAATTGGTGGAAACGAGAATTCACCAGAGAGTACATCCCCATCTTAGACAAGAACGAGCCTACACTAGTGTCATGGTTGAATCACTTTGGATATGCTAAGGTAACATCACAAACAGAACGCCTTGGATTTGCTTGAAACCTATGCGAGTCATTATAAACATTGTAAAGCATGTTTAATCTACGCGTATCCAGATGAATTTGAATCAACAAACCGCWTTTTTCATACTAATCTAAAGTCTCCACGTCCGCATATGTGAGAATTTATTAGAGTCTGCATAGGGGTCCTAACGGAATTATGGGAGGCCYAGTTGAAAACTGAGAGAATGAAATGGAAGGGTCAAGGCCCAAGCAGATTGCTTTTGTCCTCTATTTTCCACTCGACCCATTTAATTCCCAAATCATACTAGATTTGCTAYCACATCGAAAATGTCAAGACGGAAATTTATTACATGTTAAATTTACCCGATTTGTGTTCATTGAATACGAAAAGAAGCGTTAGTAGAATGATCTTTATAGGGTTATATGTGAACTTGCCACGCGTCATGTGCTCATCTTACTATATTGTAATTTTTTTTTGTCTTTCTATTACATTGGGTCGTTCGAGGTAACTAAAGGTTTTTGATCGAACTGATGCATTAGAAAGGCCAAAAATACTTAAAGTAGTGAGATGAAGTTTCTACTATGTTTTTGACAGGATGAACCATGGCCAGAGCATCCATCTGGCAGTCTTCACAGACTTATTAAATATCTACGGTCCATACTACGTACTAAAGACCCTGTTGGTTTTATTGCTGCACTCTTTGTTTGTACATTCGTAATGTSGAGGATTTTAAATCATGGGTAGTAACTTGTAGAGATTTTGAATGACTAATAAAAGTTAACCATTGCTGATSAAAGTGCGGCGAGAATTGGAGTAGTGATTCCATTTATTTGAGTCTACGCCATAAGGGGGGGTGGGGGAGGGGGTATAAGGGCCTTCAGGGTGTTTCACTGGTGCATTCAAAGCTGCTGCCCACAGATTGCCAGCAATTAGAACTGAAAATAGAATCKAACTGGTGCCTGGTACCTAGTGACTACCCACTTAAACACAATAATATGCATGTAGCCTTTAGAAGTTTACTTGAGAATCTCAGGAACGTACAAGCACGATTCGCAACATTTTCTTATCTTTATTGATGTACGGCCTAAGGTTCAAAGATTTTATCCCTTCTTGGGCTACATCGACGTTAACACTAACACTGTGTACACAAAAACTGACTAGTACCAGACCCTATACTTATTACGCGGACGCGGCACTAACAATTAAATGCAAAAGTCACATCCATAAAATATTTGTCAATATTACTCGATATCGAATGCAGATGAAATTGTTTTCAACTATTTCAAAACGTTGTACAATAGTTTTAAGTTAATGATGATGTCTACCGCTTTTCTGGACCTCATAAATTTTTTGAGATATTTGGCAAAAACGATTCTCGTTGCCCAGGTAACGTTGATGGAGCGAAATATTATGCCAAACAAAACTTTGCTCAATGCTTTTATTGGCGATTCCGAAATTCAAAAGGAGRCTGGGAACCAGTGTGAAAATATGACATTCATCGAAAACTGAACCTTACCACATGAAAGACCACACTAAAATAAGTGTTCTTGTCAAGTATGAGCATATTTGGTTGAATACTCACCGGGTCGGAATTTTTTCAAATATGTGATATAAGAGAGAATGTATGGTTTTTGGCTGCTCAAGATCTCCATACATTCTTTTTATTTTTTTCGATTTCTAAACGCTTGAAACTCTGTAATTATATTAACCTCAACACTCCTCAAACTCGGCAKCTTTACTAATTTTAGTATGCTCTTTCTTGTCCTGATGTCTGGGKTTTTTTTGATATCGAGTTTGTGACTAGTCACCAGTCCCTTTTTGAATTTTAGAATGGACAATACTGGTCCAAACAACAATTAAATCGCTGCAAAGCAAGATTTTCAAAAAGCACCCTGGACTTGTCAAGTGGACACTAAATCAAAAATCAAAAATACACCTCACGTACACCTAGTGCAAGTCAAAAACATCAAATAAATAAAGCTGGAACTGTCTACTAATACATCTGAACTAGACCCTAATGCAAGTCAGAAACAATAAATACACGTGTTGTAGTCTCCACTCAAAAACAACTGATAAACCTGTAGACAAGATAAACACTGATACCCCTTTGCTACACTATTTAACAATTAGACCTCGAGGTCGAGTGGACTACGAGCTAATAGCCCATGAGGCCGAGTCCGCGAGGCCGAATGGGCTATTAGCTCGTAGTGCACGAGGCCGAGAGGTCTAATTGTTTTAGTATAAACATAATAATCGGTCAAATAATGAAAACAAATTGAAATATCCTTAAAATAATTTATTAATGAGATTTTCCCGCGAGTGGTCTATCACAATTTAGACCCGCATTAGTAGAGTAGCCAATCACAGCGCAGTATGAGTCATAGACCATTAGTATGTTCTTATACTAATATTATTTACGTGCTGTTTTTGTGACGAACAGCCTTATGGGGCCTCTGCTCATCATGTCATCGTGTGACCGAACCGTAACCATCCACTTGTAGCAGGCGTTCCTTGTGAATCCTTGATATCTTTAAGTTGAAAAGTGAAGGGGGAAATCTCTGGAGAAAAACAAACAGAGCAACAACAGCAAAGAAAAAGAATAAAAGAAAAAAAAAGAAAGGAGAAAAGAAAACAAGAAACAAACGAAAAACAAAAAAACAAAAAAGAKAAAGTCCAGCAGCAGAGCTCGAACTCAGAACTTTCACTTCATGAGAAGATGTAACCCCCCCCCCCGGGCATACATAAAATAATGAAAATTAAAAAAATAAAAAGATGGGACGATTCCTCCGAGACATTCTATGAAGCTGAGGCGTCGAATCGGCTTACGTTACGGTTGGAGATTTCGACTCTTCCACGCTATCCCGAGTGAACATAAAACTTAGTCTTAACCAAAAGGCCAGTGAGTGAGGGGGTAGCCACCCACTAGAGCATACCTTTAGCTACCCTCTTAGACCATCGTACTATGAAGACACTTATAGATATCTAATATCAAGAATAACAAGAAGCTTTTTTCAACATCAATTAATTTGATTCTATAATAATCTCACTATCATTCCAATTGTATATAAATTAATGATAATTTCATTTAATGGAATAAAAATAGTAAAGTATAAATAATTATAGATATCTAATATGTAATCGGGCTGGTCTATTCCGCGAAGTTCCATGCTAATATATGACGTCACCAAAATCCTTAGGGAGCAGCGAGCCAATCAGCTCAACTCAGGAATTAGCAAAGATAGAGTTTGCATAATCATTCTTCAGTGGATTTATTATTTTGATGGGGGTGGGGATGGGTGCTGAGTACTGAATTTTGTTGCAGCCGAATACCGATGTACTCGATGTTCAATTGTCGTTATTGTTTTCTAAATCATCACAGGAAAAGGCGTACAGTTCTTATATCATACAGACATTACTAGTATTCGGATAAACAGMACGAAAAAAATCTCTTGAAAGTGTTTTACAGACCAGGAAGGTACTAGCTGTTTCCAAAGATTTGCCGGGCTTCAACGGAACACAATAGAAGACCTCGGAAACTCCAACATTATCAATCAATCAATCAACKTTCCGCTCTTGTTCCTAAGCTTGCTTCTCTCGTGTTTTTCGAACTCCYACCGTGTTTATATCAGAGAACAGAGACACRCACGCCGTTTTATATTTCTTAATTACATGTAAAATGTACATGTGTGATTATAAGTAGCGCGCAATCTTCACGAAATAGGACCTTTTTAGAATATATTCTATATTACATTTTCTCTGCAAAAAAGCTCAAGTTCTATCCAAGTTCAAGAATTTGAAATTAGATTCGGGAATTTTCGAACACTTTTCACGGCTTGGAAGAAAACAAGCATTATATATCTTCATAAAGTCTTGGGATGCCTGTGTTGTCACGTTTTCTCTTCAAGCTTGACACTGTTCAGCACTGTTGACATTGCTTATGTTCTTTTAAGTTAAAAATAGTTAAAAATAGTTAAAAATAGTTAAAAATAGTTAAAAATAGTTAAAAATAGTTTGAAAAACGTTTTGCTAAAGAAACCTCTATGGACTAAACTACTCTTTTAAAATGTTTTCAATAATATAATGGATGCATTTCAAGAATAAGAGGATTTTAAAGAGGAGTAAACAATCACAATACAGCGATGATGTGGATGTGCGAACTTTGTAAGTGTCACAAAGTGGTCATTGAAATCAGCTGTATTAGGTAAATCACGGCAAAACTTGTATGATACATTCTTCTATTGCATTTAGATAGATTTACTTCAAATAAAGGAAATACGATGTGGAATTAAGCAGTTTTGTTTGGTTCTGTCGAACTTATCAGACACGATCTTTACTAAGTAACGACTTATTTTCGCTTCAAGGTTACTCGCGTTCGGCGCTCTAAAATATTTTCTTTTGAGTAGCCCAAAAATTTTATTGCAGAAATTTAAATTSGAAGCAGGGTTCTTTTACAGGAATATWGTGTCTTTGATCAGTCAGGCTGTCCAGTTGGCGATTTTGGCCTCTAAAGTTGCGCTATTTTTAAGTTTTTGAAAATCGGTAAAATTTGCATAACTTAAAAATTAGGTAAAAAATTCAAAATTTGTTCTTTCATATCAATCTGCTCCTAAACGATAAAGTATTATGTTCACTTTTACGACATGCATTTAGATTTTCGGTTAGTTTTTAGGAGGAGTAGTGATCGAGATCAGAAGAATCCATGGTTTGACCTTGGGAAACCGGCCTGTTAACCCGAAAAATGAAATTCTCGTGTTTCGTCAAAAATCAAAATCCGAGCGAACTATTTCTAGAATTATCCTATCTATAGCTATGCTATGACAAAGTTTGAAAGAATTTGTTTTTTAGATCTTGCACACCTTAGAGGAAATTTATGGACGGCCGCTCTTAATACAGTCTCCTCGCAGCCGTTCTTAGTGGCGGGCTCCCTGTCATAACCCACAGAGAGCCCGGCACTAAGAACGGCTGCGAGGAGACTACTCTTAATGGCAACAAGCTGATAATTTGTTTTCCATTTTTTATTATCTAATCAAGTTATATATCTGACCTTAAGATTATTCTGAAGAATCACAAAGGCGGATAAAGCAGACGTTTGAAAAGCCTAC